AGCTTGTAATCACATTATGATACATACGAAAAGCTTATAAGCTGATTACTCTATTATTATTATTTACAATCCACATTAAATATTTATTAAATCATGCTCTCTTAAAACTAAAATCGTTACCTCCGTATTCAAGGTACATTAAAGCGGAACATAACCATTTTACAAACACAACTTTAAATTTAGCTAAAGCTGCATTTCTTTCACCATATAAAATACATCAATAAACACTCAGAAGTTAAAATTACCAAGAGTACTTCAGCTTGCTGGAAAGAGATAACTTTCTAAAAAATACTGACTTCAAAGAATTTGAAAAGTTCACAAATAATTTTTAGGTACTCAGAATCCCTTATGACCTATAAGTGCAAAGTTTAATTCTCAAAAAGCTCTAGTTTTTGTTTCTAAGCATCTAATTAACCATAAATTACAAACCTTACAAAAAATCAGAATCTCCCTTTGTTAAGAAAGATATATCACATATTTTCCCCTACTTTACCAACCAATTTTTGAGAATGACATTAAATGCATAAATTACAAAAGAAAATCCAAAATGCATTAGAAATAAATGTCAATTCCAAGGGAAAACAACAAATTACAAAATTGGACAATTTTCCAAGTATGTAAAGAAAACACTCCCCATAGGTTGAACTATCAAGTTGAACCATATGAAGTCACCATTTTTGCGGGTTACAATGGTGACATGCTGGCAATGCCACACGAGTGAACATAATTAACACAACCGGATACGGTGAAAACAGCAGTAAAGCTGTGTGATCCACCAGGAGCTCCCCAGCATGTATGCTAAAAAACCTGGGTTTCTGTGTTTTTAGAAGCAAGAGACATCTTGATGGCATTACTTTTGGCAACTAGAAACTACTCATGAAAGAAAGATAAGTTAAATGGTTATTTTCATCAACTATTCCCAATTCTCTGAGCTGCGAAAGCAGGATGAAAAATACTAGGTAGTATAAGTATCTCAAATTTGCAACCTACGTGCTTGATCTCAAAACACTCAATGCTGGCATCCTGTCAGCTCCATTCTTCTGAACGTAACCCAACAAATACATAGCAATCACCTCCAAGAAGGATCAGTGTTTCTGGGTAACTTTACAGAAAATCAACCAAAAAATTAAAATAAAGCTAATGGTGGTAAACCAGTTAAATGATGACATATAGGAGCATTTTACATACATTGTGTCATTTATGTCCCATTACAACTTTCAAGTTTGGTATTTTCCCCATTTAATAGATTAAGAAATCAGGGCTTGGCCGGGCGCTGTGGCTCACGCCTGTAATCCTAGCTCTTGGGAGGCCGAGGCGGGCAGATTGCTCAAGGTCAGGAGTTCAAAACCAGCCTGAGCAAGAGCGAGACCCCGTCTCTACTATAAATAGAAAGAAATTAATTGGCCAACTGATATATATATAAAAAATTAGCCGGGCATGGTGGCGCATGCCTGTAGTCCCAGCTACTCGGGAGGCTGAGGCAGAAGGATCACTCGAGCCCAGGAGTTTGAGGTTGCTGTGAGCTAGGCTGACGCCATGGCACTCACTCTAGCCTGGGCAACAAAGCGAGACTCTGTCTCAAAAAAAAAAAAGAAATCAGGGCTTAAAAGGTCAATGTGAAATAACTAGTAAATATAAGAGCTGTCTATCAGGTCCTAAAGTCTCATGTCCCTGCCACAAACCTTCTCTATTAGAGTCAAGATTTGCAAGCCTACTGAATGCTAAAATCTTTGAGTATTATTTTTAATGTTTCCAGAAGCTTCCCAAGATTATTATCCTCCTTTTACAGATGAGGGAAATGAGGCTCAAGGATTTAAGTGGATTATGCACTGTATGTTTTTAGCATTTGAACACCAGATTATTAACTCCTAAGCTTATACTCCCTTTACCTTCTATACGATACCACTCTGTCCTGCCAAGTGCTCAGCACCATCTGTGATGGTCAGTAATATTTCATTGAAATAGAAAGGCATACAACTATTAAACCATATATTCATTTAAATTTATAAGCATTCCACTTAGGCTATAAAAAATGTTTTATTACAAGAGACTTAGAAATAATTCCAGTAAAACCATCCAGAGATACTGATGTGTTATCACGTTAACTATCCCAGGCCAGATAGCTGGGACCGGAATTCAGGTTTCCTCAACTCTTACAATGTTACCCGTCATTAAAATAAGCAAATATTGGGAATTTCTGAGCAGAAATCAATAGGCATTACACTGTTATAGAAAACATGTCGATTTATTCTAAGGCATAGCAAGCACACAAAGCCATTTTAATTCATCCAAAGCTAAATGACAGTTATAATACATTTAACAAACAATTCTGTTTTCCCTTAGAATTTAAGAGGACATCTTCACGCTGGTTCCGACAGCCCTTTTTTTTCTAAGTTAGAAAACAAGAGCTAAAATATTTAATGGAGTTTAAACCAATGTATAACATTTAAGTGCCATACACAGCTTTCCCAGCTACATTAGCAGAAGAAAGATAATGCTGAAATAAGACTCTCCCAACAGATGATGCTCACTTTTAACTTCAAAGTAAACAGTAACTGAAAACCACAAGTGATATAAATGTTGCCCTGCTCTTAGGACTTCCAGATCCAGATCATGAGCACAAAAAGCAAAATGTATCATCTACTGACATTCAGCATCTATTCCCATCTCCTCTGTCCTCTCCGCACATCAGAGGCTAAGCCTGAAGACCAAATCCACATGTCTCAGGCTCCTTAGCTGAGGGAGTTCTCAATTTGATTTATGTCTTCCTCCCTGTCCACATGCCTTCTCCCCTTGCTTTACCGTACTGACTAGCATTTCCAGCACAACACTGCACAGGAACATACTCCCGGAATAAACGGCACTCGGGTGTGATGTATTTTTATATTAACTATATTCAACTTGCTAATATTTTATTAAATAAAATCTCCTTTGGAGGGGGGACCAGGGTAATAGTACTGGCCTCATAAAATAAGCTTGTGTTCCCTCCCTTCTATTTCCTGAAGAGTTTGTATGTAATTGGTATTAACGGTTGGTAGAATTCACCAATGAGACTATGTGAGCTTTCTTTGTGAGATGCTTTTTAACTAGAAATTCAATTGGTATAATAAAGAGTAATCCAGGTTATCCATTTCTTCTTTTTTTGTTGTTGTTTTTTTGTTTTTGTTTTTGAGACAGGGTCTCACTTTGTTGCCCAGGCTAGAGTGAGTGCCGTGGTGTCAGCCTAGCTCACAGCAACCTCAAACTCCTGAGCTCAAGCGATCCTCCTGCCTCAGCCTCCCGAGTAGCTGGGACTACAGGCATGCGCCACCATGCCCGGCTAATTTTTTCTATATATATTATTAGTTGGCCAACTAATTTCTTTCTATTTATAGTAGATACAGGGTCTCACTCTTGCTCAGGCTGGTTTGGAACTCCTGACCTTGACCAATCCGCCCGCCTCAGCCTCCCAGAGTGCTAGGATTTATCCATTTCTTCTTGAGTGTGGTTTGGCAGCTTATGTCTTTGAAGAAATTTGTTTATTTATCTAAGTTATCAAATGTATTAAGTGGTTTATAATATTTCCTTATTATCCTTTTAATATGTGTAGGATCTCTAGTGATGGTCCCACTTTCTTTTCTAATACTAGGAATTTCTATTTTCTTTTTGTTCCTGATAGTCTGGCTATAGGTTTATCAATTTTATCTCATCAAATAACCAGCTCCTGGTTTCACTGATTTTTTTTTTTTTCTATTTTGTTTAATTCTCTCTTTTCTTGATTTCTGCTTTGTGTTATTTCCTTCCTCTTCTTGTTCTGGGTGTTAGCTTCTGATATCTTAAGGTGAAAGTTTAGACTATTTCAAAACTTTTATTTTCTAATTATAAGCATTTAACACTATAAATTTCCTTTCAAAGTAGTACTATAAATGCATCCCATACATTTTGGTATGTTTTCACTTTCATTCAATTCAAAATATTTTCTCATTTCCCTTGTGATTTCCTCTTTAACCCACAGGTTTCCAGAATGTGATAGTTTAACGTCAAGGTATTTGGGGATTTCCCACATAAAAATTAGATACTGATTTCTAGCTTAATTTAATTATGGTCAGAGAATACAGATATATTCCTATAGAGTGAAAATATGTAAATCAAATTCAATTTTCCTATGGGAAATCAGAGTAACGACACACCCGAGGTCAAGGTGAGACAGGGTTAGAAATCAAGTCCTCCAGCGTCTGGTACAGCATCCTTTCCTCTACCTTACGTTCTCCATCAAAACCATCTCGAAACAAACAAACAAACGTTTGTTATTCTCTCCCTACTCTTCAAAAAAATAAATAAATAAAATAAAATAAAAAGGAAAATTTCTCATTCGATTTTTACAATTCCACGGAACAAGTTAGACAGATGACAGTATTCTGCACACGTGGAAAGTGAAGCTCAAAGAAATGACTTGCCCTAGTAGTCTACTCTGTCTCACTATTCCTCAATTATCTCTCAAAAATAGAACAAGACAGAATCACTGAAATCCATAAATAATTCAAATATCTCATTTTAGCCACTGCTACAAATCACCACCACTTCAGTTCAGAGTAAATTACAGTAAAACTGACTAGGTTTAAGTTCTTAAATCTTGACTTCTCATACCCATCCATTATTAGCAAGAGACATAACAAATAACTAGTTAAACCACAGTGAAGAAAAAGCAGATAGGCAAAAAATACAGGGAAGAAAATGAGATCTCAGTTTAATAAGTCATAAACTAGATATTCATGTTTATTATTCACACAAAATATGAAATGAATAGATCAAGTTACATTTTTTCTCTTTCAAAGTCCTGAACTGTTGATTAGGATCTAAAGTTCTAGAATATTATCTGCTAATACTTATATACTGAAACATTAATATTAAATATTCAAAAATATTAAAATATTTTATGCTATTCAATTTCCAATTAAATTTCTTAACTGTAACGTTACAGAAATTAAATGGCTTCAAGGGTAAAAGGCACACACTCTTACCATACAATCGTTGACTTAGGGGTTGCAGTGATTTCCCTCGAGCAGCATCACCACTTTGGCTCAGATATCAGTAGTAACAGCAATCAAAATTAAAACTAAAAAGAAAAGGGGGGGGAAACCAAAATTAATTACCAGTAGGCAAAATGCATTTATGTTTTCATGAAAGTCTTAAATTCAAATTTCACATTTCAATAATTTCATCAAGGGAGCTCTAATCCCACAACTAGTTCTTTTTTAATTAGTTTAAGCTAGGAGCTAATAAGGTATGTGGATTCCTGTATAATGCCAACTCCTTACCCTAGAATAACCTCTGAAAATTAACTTCAAGGACTCACAGTAAATAACAGCCAAAGGGCAGAATAACAAAGTATAAGGCATATTCAACTACACTACTCAATTCATTTACTCAACAACACACACATTTTAGGTTTTGTTACTACCTACAGAATGAAGCGAATAACACTGATCATTCCCAGAAGAACTGTACCTGATAGGAGCAATTTGTATTCGTTTTCCCCATAACTACATTTAAATTCAATAAAAATCTTGGTGGTCATTTTATAAGTATTTTTACTAGTACATATGAGGATAAAATAGAAACAAAGATTTAATAATTGCCAATGGACCCTACAAAGTGTTTTCAGGAAAGCGGATATTAACAGCAAGGATACAGAGCAATGGGATAAATGTTTACCAATGTGCCAAAGCTACTGCGGTCACAAGTGTAATATGGTTTCCTATCATTTCAGAGGTATAGTGTACTTGGGAAGAATAGATAAGAAAAATTTAGTGAACAGGCATGCATTCACGCATCCAGCAAAACTTTACCAAGCATCTTGTAGAGGTCAGCTCCTCTTTAAATACTGAACACACAAACACGAATAAGAAAATGCCTGCTTATGAACGGACTCAGTCTTACGAGGGTGACAGATACTAACATATGCAGATAATTTTAATACAACAAGGCGGATGCAAGAAAGCCAGGGCACAGCAGCTCAGAGGTGGGGTGAGGTATGCCAAACAACTTCCAGAAGGTGTGGGGGGAAGAGGCAAGGTAAAGTAGAAATTGTGCAATTTCAGTATGGAAGAAAAGTAAACTTTGTGTCTACTAGAAAGAATCATCTGGACATGTATGAACTCTGTGTAGGCTGAGAGATTCTGAGAGCCTACACAGTTAAGACTGCCACCATCCTTGTGAAAGTATATTATTATACTTTATTATACAAAAAAAAAATGGAATGATCATTCAGTGATACTCTATTTTATACATGTCCTATTTTTACTTACTTAAAATTGAAAGCGGCACACCACTTTCCTTCTCTTCCTTAGGAGCAGCTGTACAACAGCATGCTCTTGATTATGCAGAGCAAAAGAGAAAAGTGAATTTTTCCTAAGTAATTTGCATAAGTAATCACCTTATTTCCAAATACAGAAAATTATCCCTGGGTTTTAGATTATCCAGGCCTAATTTTACCTCTGTCAGATCAGCTGGTTTGACTTGATGCTTTTGAAAGTAGCCAGCACTACACACTTCACGTTCGAGAGGGCGGCATCGAGCTAACTGTGCCTAGGGGCAAGGACAGCAACCCACATCACACGTATTTTCTAGATGACCGTTCAAGAATCACGTGCTACCTCTTCCTCTGGGAAACACAGCTATGAATTTTCACATTCGTGTAGGAGGCCATGGAATTATCATTTTTGTTATGAGCTATTATTTGGTAAATGCTTCATTCAGGACTAAACATAGTGCTAACACCTCACATACATCTTAGTCTCCATAGGCAGGTAATACCTTCACTAAAAAGTGAAGAAATTAGGATCGAAAGGTGACTTGTTCAGGACCACACGGCTAGGAAAAGAAGAGTCAGGAGGAAGTCTGACTACAAAGTCACAGTCCTTAACGACTCCATGCAACTGTTAAGAACAGTCTTACATTGCATTTTTCTGTCCTACTGAGTGGCTACCATTTCGGGAACCACAAAGGCCTTGAAGAATTAACTAGACTTTGTTGAGCGTGCAGCCTCCATTTTACAGGGGAAAGCACATCTTGAACTCCTTTGGAGTTATAGATGAAGGTTGTTAGCTGTGAAACACAGCGCCTCTACTAAGTTACGGGTTAAGGTTAATAAGCATGAAACACAGCGCCTCTACTAGGTTACAGGTTAAGGCTATAAGCATGAAACACAGCGCCTCTACTAGGAGGTGCAGCGCCGGCCAGCACAGGGAAGCACGTTTGCATGCGACGCAGTCACTGCGGGTCTGTGCACGTCCACGGCGGAGCTGAGTGGTGCTGACAGCACGTCATCGCGCCTACTCCCGCCCAGGAGCACGACTGCCTTGTCATTTCCTACCTCTGGGCTCACGGCCCTGATGCTCCCCGTACCAGAAATGCCCTCCTCTTGTCTCGCTTGCAGGTATCCAAAGGTCTCTAGCCTTCAGAATACAACCTACTACAGCCTCCTACATCCACCTGCGCCTCTCTCTACCTGCCCGATAAACACGTACTTATTGTGGTTATGCATGATCCTACCTTGGAATGACCAAAGCCCAATCCTGCACCCCCAAGAACTTCTTGGTCCACCAAAAGACAAGTGTGTAAATGCGCAGGTAGCACTCCGTGGGACCAGGGCTCTAACTGGTGTGCATATGGTACGCACAGAGTACAAGGTAGACGGTGACCACCACCAGGAATGGGGGTTGGGGGAGGACAGCAGCAAGGAAGGCCTCACAGAACTGGTAACTGAATTTGAGCCCTAAGTCAGGTGACAGATGATGAAGACCTAAACTAAGACAGAGGAGGAGAATTTTTTAAAGGGAACAAATCTGAGACACACAGGTCTTGGGAGATAAAGTGGATGGGGAAGCTTAGATGTCTCCGCAAGTGTGGAGTCAAGTGACACAGGCCTGTCCAGGTGAACTTCCCTGACGACAGAAATGTCCTACAGAGCAACAATGCCCAACCTGGTGCCCGCCAGCCACATGGAGCACTGGACTGGGCACTTGAAACGTGGCTAGTATACCCAAACAACTGAATTTTTAATTTCATTTCATTTTAATTAATGTCAATTTAAATAGCAAAACATGTGGCTAGTGGCTACTGTGCTGGACAGCACCACTCTAAGGTTCTTAGCTTGAGACAGCTGGGTTGAAGGTGTTATTACCAATATCTCAGAAAAGAAATACTGTGACAAAAAGCATATGGACATTCAAACATTTTCTGAATAAAAGAATGAGCAAATCAATGAACAGAAAAACTGGGTGATCTTTGTTCAAAACCCCATCAAAGATGTACCTATCCGCGTCCACTCAGGTTCCAAACCATGCCCTCAATGTGGTCGCATCAAAACACTGTCATGCCGTCTCCAAGTCTCAGCCTAACTGTTCGACTACTACCACCAAATAAAAATTCCTCATACCATTCGGGGGGGGGGAAAGGAAAAGACAAACTACATCATGAAACCACAGCAAGTCACAATTTAGGGAGCGGTCACAGACCAAAGTCGAGCCAGGATAAATAACCACCTATTTAAAAGAAAGGCCTTTTTCTTAAATAAAAAAGAAAGAAAGAAAAAGAAGAAGGGGAGGGGAGAAGACGGGACAGCTCTATGACACCCAACGCAAGATCAGATGATTCCAAGTTCACTGCAGACCATTCACCACATCAGCAGTTCACTCCTCGGTACTCTGATGAGAGAAATAACTGAGTAGCTCATGAAATATCTAATTCTGTTCTACAGGGCACTTTATGAGGTCACTGATAATAGAGGTTTCCCTAGAAATATGTCCTTTGATCTTAATGATCCAGGACATCCAAAGTCAACATGAAATAAAGAATTCTGTGATATGAAAATGTTTAACCTGAGAACAGGCTGTATCTAAACAGCTCATTGTTAATCTGCCAATATCGTCCTAATCTGATTGTATTCGGATTTGTTTACTATTTTGTCCTTGACCTCTCTCTTAAGCCTCCAAATTCCAGTTTTGCAGAAGTCAGAACCCTGCGTGTACACGACTACAATACACTCACACGTGCTCTAGAATAGCTCTGTTTCCCCACTTCATTCCCCAGCTTTACCCCCTAAACCAGGTGGAAAGTCTACATTCTTTTCACTTCTACCCATGGCATCAATCATGTCACCGATGTTAACTATTCGCATATAAATTTCTATTTACAAGATTGTCAGACACAATAGCACATGTAGCCACTATTAGCTTCAGAGAAACCACATCTCCTAAGAATGCCAAATACGAATTTTTTAGCAAGAAGTATATGCTTAGCACAATAAAATAGCAACTTCGTGTTTCCCCCGTTGGTCGACAATCTGAGCTTTGACTCCACATCGCAGGAACGGTCCTACGTCCTTTTAAATCAGAGTGAGTATGAGCACGTGCAGCTGGCTCCCCCATGCAACTCAACGTACAAGTGAGCTCTTACAGAAGGTGAGGCAAAAGCAATGCTAAATTATTAACAAGATAAGGTCTTTGGCCCCAGAAAGTTCTATCTGGCAGAAAGGAGTAAACAAGTGCAAATGTAAAATGAGCAGCAGAAAGGACACTGGTATAAGTTAAAAATAATGTTAGCTGACTGAACACCTATATGCATCACACGGTCAGCTAGGTACACATTTGCTTTGATAATTAATAAAACTGCATTAATTATACTATGAGAACGATGAAGAAAAATTCTCCCAGTGTTGAGTTCTTTACTCATTCAAAAATTATCACAGGCCTAAATACAAGGGTCATAATATTTTCTTCCATTTAATGAACAATAAAAGCCTAGTAAAATATGAAGAAAGGGCACTCAATTCCTGATATATACTATGACTTTGCAAAGATCCTTGACTGGCCCATTCTTATGGGCTAACAGCCTCGGGCCAGAGAAGCTCAGTAGCTCAGATCTGGGCCAAGTGAAGCACTCTAAACAAAGTTTAGGGGAGGCCAATATTTTGGACTAAGCTCCTGCGCTCAGCCCCACAGACCAGACAGAAGCATAACAGAAGTGCCGGTGGTAACTGTCATGTACTCAAACCGAACTCTGAACAGGACGGTTTCCAAAACACACCAGTCTAGAGCAACCAGTCAGAAGAGGCCCAGTTTACCAGAACCTAGCAAAATAAGTTCCCTGTTTTAATCCCATAAGCAAAGTAATTCTGAAGTGACCAATCTGTTTTTCATTCTTTGTTTCTGCTTTCTTCAGGTCTGTCCTACCTATAAAGTCAAGCTCCTCTGCTCAGCTCATTGGAATACTCATCACTTAATTTTACAGAATGAGGTGCTGATGATTCTAGAACTGTAAATAAAAGCCAAATAGATCTTTAATTTTTTTTTTTTTAAAGATGGGGTCTTGCTACGTTGCCCAGGCTGGAGTGCAGTAGCTATTCACAGATGTATTCATGGTACACTGCAGCCTGGAACTCCTGAACTCAAGCGATCCTCCCCCTCCAGCCTCATGAGCTGCTGAGGCGACAGGCTCACGCCACCATGCTCAGCTCAGATCTTTTTAAACTACATTTTTAATTTTGTCTTTTGACTCCAGCTTCCTATAATGAATCAGAAACATAACCACGAATCAGACAAAGGTGAAGCCATATACAAAAAGACACCACACCACAAGCTGGGAAGTGTGGCGTGGCAAGAGACAGACACTGGCACCCTGGTACCCCCAGGGGTATATTCCAAGACCCCCAGTGGATGCCTGAAACCGCAGATAGTACCAAACCCTGTATGTGCTGTGTTTTTTCCTGTATCTACATACCTATGATAAAGTTTAATTTATAAATTAGGCACAGCACCAGATTAATAACTAATAATAAAACAGAACAATTCTAACACAGTATACTATAACAATCACATCATGAATAATACGATCTTTCTCAAAATATCCTAATATTTTTGGGCTGCAGCTGACCTTGGAAAAGTGGGCACTACTGTACCCACATGGTTTTCTCTATGAGAGTACACATAGTTTTCTCTATAAGAGAAAACTAGTTCCAGCTGCAGTAAATGAGAAAAAATCTAAAATTTGCATGTGAAACAGTGACATCAAGGCACTGATTTCAGTCCTTTAAGCTATGTAGAGTATGCAAAGTTGTATGAAGATAACTGCTCTCACCATCTAAATACCAAGAGGTGGTCAAAGAGTTCCCAGATGCAGAGCGTGCTCCTGAAGCCAAGAGCACGCGTGTACCTGCCTGTCCATCTCCTGGGAGGCGACAGGAAGCTTACGGGCCCGACGCACTTGCACCAGCAATGCTAGGCAAAGGGGCCTCAGAGCTCTGCCCCCCGCTACGCCAGGGCCCTCTAGCACATCCCTGTCCATTTGGCTCACACACTGCTAAGGGACTGGGAGTCCACGATTTGTAACCCCACTTACTACGGAGCTTTGATATAAGGCTTTCTTTATACTCAGTTAAAGCCTACATCCTTGTACCTTCAAACCAACGCTTCCTGCTCGCCCACTGAAACTGGAGTCTGCCGAGGCCTTGCACCTCTACCAGCTCCCAGGGCCCTGCAGCGGGGCGAAGGGGCCATCCTCCAGCCTGCCCAAGGCTCCCCAGCAAGTCCTGAGGCGCAGGGTTCAGAGCCACACCTTTCCTGGCCACGCAGCCAGCCTCTGCCACCCTGCGCCCGCTGCACTCCAGGGCAGCCAAGTCCCGTTCCTGAGAGCAGGATCCACTGGCCTTCCCTCCCGCGTGCCAGCTGCCTTTCCTGGGTGGCCTCGCCCCACTCCTCATGCTCCAACCTCCCTACCAGGCCACGCGCTGACACCTCTCTGCACTGCTGCTCCACCCCTCGCGAGGCCTCCAGGGCCCTTGCTCCTGCGCAGCCCTGTGCAGCCACTAGCAGGATGGTTTCCCCTCCTACAGGCCCAGCACCAGCCCTCCACTTACACACCGGGAGACTTTGGCAGTTTATTTAACCCTACGTTTCCCTACCTGCCAAAAGGAGACTGAGAGAATGAAACGAGCTAAGCCGTGGGAAGGGCTGGCCGGCCACGTGGTAACGAGCAATGAAGAACACCAGCCACTGCTCCTGTGCCACCCCACCCGGTTGCGCGTGCCACCCCACCCGGTTGCGCAGGCCACCAGAGCTGGCAGAGCGTCACTGCGCCTCAGTGTCATCCCCAGGGCTGACACAGGAAGGAGTTCACACCAGCCTCTCCATCGTGTGGGTCCAGAACAAAACAAATAATGAACAAATGAGCAAACAAATGCCTAAAACCAAGGTGGTTTAACCACTTTGGTACGAGCGTCGACTACAGTCGACAGCCACAGATGAAGGCGCACAGCGACTGTAGCCGACAGCGTGATGTGACTTTTCTAATTTTTCATTTATCAAAATAAAATTGTGAACATTTAAAAATAACGTAATGAAAACATATATGTGTATGTTCCCTATTCTGATGGACATGACAAGTAAAGCTGCCTGTAAAGTAAAACAAGCTTTCAGTGCTTTCAAGCTGTCCTCACCACACGGGAGCAGACCGGATTGGTCGTCCATGCGCAGCAGACCGCCGTGCGCACTGCCAGTGCCGGTGTGGGCGCGGCTTCGTGGCCGGTGAGCGCCGCGCCCAAGCGGTTAAGAAGTTCAGGTTCAGTCCTACTCTTCAATCTGCCTATTCATCACTGCAACACAAAGCACTGAGCTGCTAGAGATCAAAGAGCCTCTACTTCAGTTTTAAGGGTTGAAAATGGTCAGAAATTCGCAGTCAATTGGTTTTCAAAGGAAAAATGGATTATCTAATCGTATGGTGCTTCTACCTACATGTGACCATGGAGCTTTCTTTTAAAAAAACCCGTTCACAGTAGACAGGTCTGGGCCTAGGCAGCCACCTGTGAGTCCTAATACTTTTGACCCCTACTCTATTCTTCACTGTGACAATCTTTTTCTTTTCTTTTTCTTAAATTCCTATCACTTAGCACAATGATTGGCACATAGACAATAGTCAAAAAGCATTTGTCAAAGGAGCTAATTTACTCAAGGGCCTAGGTTAAAAAAAAAAAAATCACAATGCATCTTCCTGACCTACTTCAACCAGAAAAGCTGGCCTTGCCATGTATTTGATGACCTCGTGTCAGCTCTGTGATCACCACTTCCAAGGGCTACACAGTGAAAAAGCAGGAGAATTTGAGCCAACAGAACGGTTGTTTCCGTTTAACCAAACAGTTAACGAGCTTCTTTGCAATGGGCAGAAAAAGATAAAATAATAATAACTTGCTGGTGATAAAATAAGGCTTCCAGCTTGAGGAAAAGACTGCTGACTAGGAGCAAGTAAAAAAGCTGTGTAGCAACATCACGGAGCAATCTGCAATAATTAAACACAAATGTGGACTGGTACCAATCGGCATCATTAAGCTGTTTTCTTTAGCGATACTCAGAGGCGGCCTGAGAACTGGAGGAAAAAAGGGTCAGGCGGAACAGGTGCCAGGGACAGAGGGGCGAAGGTCCCAGGGAAGCAGCAAGCTGGCCAGAGGGAAGGGACCCAGGAACAGGACAGACAGGGTAAGGCCACTGGGTCCTTGAACCTTTGTCCGGAGTTTGCAGAGACAACATACAGACAAGTTTACCAGTTAAGAAATCCTGGATTTCCAGAATTTTTAAAGCTCCCCTGTTTTAAAAAGTGGGACGCTATGTCCTTGGCTGATCTTCTGGCACTTTCTATTGCTCTTGACCCCACAGAGATTGCAAACCAGTGGCTTCCAGGGAGGTCCTCGAGACAACGGCTTAAATCTTGAAACAAATCCAACCCAAGAGAAAAGATTTTTCTTGTCTAAACTCCTTTATATTTTTCTCCGCTTTAATTACTGAACCCTGTAACTAGAATTCATCCCTGATTCAAAGAGATGCTAAAAATAGCCTGTTTTAGAATGTAGAATGAGAAGTATCTGTAATTTTGTTACTAAGTGGACTCCTATTTTTGTTTTACAGCTCAGTAACTTACTCTTCAATACTGTCCTTCTTTTTATTAACCAAAAAAGTGTAAAACATTTTAGGTACACATTAAATATTGATTTTCAAATACTAATTATGTATTTATAAGTTTGTAAGTAAAATTTCAGGCTTATTCTAACCTCACTTAAAAACAGTCTCCTCTTGCCTTCTACATCTAATCATGACCTTCATTAAACAGCTGATTGCCAGAGCACCACCTCATTTACATACAGTGAATGAATTAAAACAAAGCTGTTATTCTGCAGGCTCCCCTCTGCAAATGGCAAATTATTAATAACTTGCATTTGAATCCACAGTGCCACTTACAAAGGGCTCTCACATAAATCATCTCATTTAATCCACAACAACCCTGATGCCAGCAAAGTAGGCGTTACTTTAACTATTAAATATCTTACAAATTAGGGAAATTATGAAATTGGCTCAAAGAGTGGAACACTCTCCCAAAAATCACACAGTAAGGTGGGAGACCTGCTCACTTATATCAACTTCACCTAAGTCCTGGCAGTTCATCCAAACTCCGGTCCTTCTATCACTCAATCTTCTTCACTACGGTTCCGGGATCACCCCAACCCAGCCAGACCACCCGTCCCCCTTCCTCCTAACTCCACCAGAACTCGCTGAGGGGATCACCCATGTGCTACTTTCCACCGTGCTCGACTCTTGGAGGCCTAGGATTTGCCCAGCTCGATCAGAAGCCTTTGAGGGCAAGAACTGTACCATATATTTCTTAAACGTCTAAAATAACACCACACGCTATGTAACAGGCATGCATTTAATCGCTGCGTATGATGCCGCCTGTCAAGGAATAAGCTAGTAGACAAATGTTTCCCTAACTTCAGCAACCAGACCATGGCGTGGCCCTTAGCTTTGGTACCACCTTTTCATTTACAGCCGGAGAATGCTTGAAGCTGTTCACAGGCCGTCATAAATAAGCACTAAAGAGGTCTCCTTACCTGTGGTTAAAGCCGCCTTCCATCTTTCCCCA